TTAACGTAACACTTGATCCCCTCTAAAATTTTTGTTTCACATTTTAAGGTAAGAAATCGAAATTTGAAACCGACAGGGTGTCGATTTACTGGGTGCCATGTTTCACAACTTGTTTATTTATATACGTATAGCGGATGATTTTTTTTCATAAATTAGTATTTATTGATTTTCAGCCCCCAAGTGACTGTGATCTAGTCCAATGAGAGCAAAGCACAACTGAGAGTCAAAAATTCTTAATTTGTTCATGATAACACACACGTGACATGTAAAGCGCCACAGTCGTCGTACCGTGTCGTGTTTGATGTGGGGCCCATGCGATGCATACAACACATACTTGGGACGCGCGCTATATTCCTCAGTTACACTGACTGCATATGCAAACACTTGCAGCCAGTTAGCGTTACATGAATAGCGACCAGATTTTGGATGCTTGTCTAAACATCTATATAAAATAACGGTACTTACCTGGTGTCGGTTTCGGTGTTGTCTGACCTGTAAATAATAATAATAACAAAACAAATGTACATTATTTCCGTAAAGTATTTTGAGAGAAGTATACAATCAATTGTTTGTGTAGAAGCATAGGATTTATAGACTGTCAAATTGATTGACAGAGAAAGTAGCAAGTAGAGATAGTAATATGAGTTGTTCATTTACTCTTCCATTAAAGGCTAAGCACTTTTTATTGATTAAAGTAGCGTTTAGGATAATTGTAACCTTATTACATTATATATTTTCAGTCAGAACATTTAATAAATGTTCTGAAAATGCTGCATCTATTAAAATCTGTTTAATACATATATGTATGGTGATCGCATGAAAACAATACAAAACTAGAACTGTGCATAAAATTATTAATTGTAATCTATCATCGTATTGACGGAGTCAATCACTTACTCGGGATATATCAACCATTACAGCTGGTATAAATAACGGGGAAATAATATATCTTATTAATATATCTGATATAAATATTTATTTTCTATACATTGAAAACGTTATCTAATCATAACTTGTCTGCTGAGAGCAATCTAGGTCTATGATGTTGATAAGGTGTTTTGTTCCAGGGTTGATAAAATGACCTAATTAGTTTATTTTATCGCACATATGCTTAGTTTTCATCAATTCAGTCCCATTCTAACCCCATTCTCAGTGTCACGTGTTGTCGACGTATAACATGCCAATTGCCAGTCGGTAGTGTCATATGTTTTCTCATATTAAACAGCGCACTGCAATGATATTTCTTCAGTTACGAAAACTCATTAAATTATATGTCAATTTTTTGAAATATTTTCACAATATTAGGATTTATATGAATATTATTTATAGGACTTTTTCATCAAATGTCTTTGGGATAAGATTAAATAATCTCACTATAGAACCCCCTCCCCCCCCCTTAAATGTAAATTTTTACCATTTTGTTATTGTCGGTATACTCTCTTCTATGTGGCTCGAGTCTTCTTAAAACACAGAGAGTGTTACTCTTTTTGCTCCTTTCCAACCCCAAATGAAATCATAAATTGCGTTATTTAGTTGATGCATTATATCTGGTGTACTAGGGTTTGGCAGTTAGGTTGTACACTGTGTATATGGCTAAGTTTTTAACCATTGTGATTCTAATAATTAACAATAAAAGTATTTGTCTCCACACAGATTGCAAGGTATCAACGTTTTTCAACTTGATTTTGTAATTGGCTAGCACTATTTTAGTCAGGCTCAGGTCAAAGTTCAGACCAATCACCTCAAACTGATTGTCTACCCAACATATATATGTAATAGGCAAGGGTAAAAAGTTAAGGGCTTTGCTTTGGTTAAACGTCGAGTAAAATGGGATTTAGAGTTCTCCAAATGTCACTGAGATTGTAGGCATCCTTATTTTTTCAATTGCCAAATTGGCCCTGGGATTGTTTAGTTATATGCTAAATGTCCCGACGTTTTCGACATGATATTATCGAAAAAAGGCTAGGTTATTATTGTTAAACCCGTAAATAATACTCAAAGCACAACAGTGGTATTTTTAATAATGATACCTGTGAACAGTCCGGATACAATGATCTTCGAAAAAATCCCAACCCCCGACAGCCTCCGTTGTAAGCGTTGGGTAAACTTAATAAGTACTTTATAATTGCATTTCTTTACTGTTTTTACAATACACAAATGTATTAAACAATATTTCATCATGACGTTAGATAAGTTATGCAATATGCACAACACTGCATGAACCAGGTGTCTGTGGAGTACCGTCTAGATCTATGTTGTCTTAGTTGATAAAAATATTTGTTTTAAAGATAGATAGCATCGATACGATACCGCAATATAATAGTTCAATAATATCGCACATATGTTTAGTTTTCAGAGACTCAGTGCCATTCCATCACACATAAGTACCAACATGAACCATCTCCACAATCAGTATATCTTTAATTAAACTAGTTTCTTTCCGCTACTCAAAATAGGTCAGTGAAAGAACAGCTTGAAAGAAAAATCATGCAAAAATGCATAAAATGTATCTTGTACAACGAACAGTCACGATGATGATTTTACCTTTATTTCGATAGGACTTTCTCCAGCACAAAAAACAAACATTCGTCATTCAACAATTCAGAATACATATAAACATTAAGTAGCTGAATAAAACAAAAGATTTCAATAGCGTTATATCTATTTGCGGTCATTTGTCTTCATGGGAACAGTCACATTTGGTATGATTACGAATTTGGGTTAGCCTTTAACGCGCCTTGATTTTCCCGCCAAAATTTTGATATATTTATGTACATTTTGCTTATTTGTCTATTTTTTTATGGATTTTTGAGAGTTTTCGACCAAATAAACTAAATGGCTACCTACAGTTCTTGATAAACAGTTTTGAGATGAATATGAACACAACTATTTGGTTTTTATTTTCAGAAAAGTGACAAAAGTTAAGATTGCTGGGTGACACTAAATAATACACGTGATGATTCGTAATTGAATGTTTCTGTCTTGCAAGAACACCAATGTTGAACAGATGCTATATTAATGTGCGTAGAATCTCGTAAGTTTCAAAAATATTAACTAATCTAATTACTAAGATGTACATACCTTTCACCAATACAATGACACACAGTGACATTATTGTAACTAACGTACAGGACTTCATATTGGAGGAATGTAGAAAAAAATGCTCTGACGATAAAATATTCTCCCGCAGTCACGGAGGTCAGTGTTGTTTCAGATGTTAACTAGTTCGTATATATGTATGTGATATAAACAGGTGCTATTGTACACACTATATTACGTGAGTATTTAATACTACCAAATTAATCTGATTCGTCCGTCAATGTCACGTGATTCGCGACTGCGTATCAAAACGTAATTTATAAAATTCCATTATATACCAAACAATACAACCTATTTACATTTTGAGATGTTTTGGTTAAACAGTGGAAACAATGCATATTTTGATATTTTCATATACAATAAATATGATTTTGAAATGTGGGTGGCACGAGAGAGACCGCCTTTGTCAAAAAGCATCGGGTGAAGTTGAAATGGTTTGTTAGTATTTCCATGGAGGTAAAAAAATTACCTCCATGGTATTTCCAGGTTGTATTATTGACTGCCTTTTGAGTTTTATTTACTTAAGGTAGAGAGAGCATTATTTGAATACTTGTGACAAAATATCTACAAAAAGACCCAATAAAGTATATATTTTTAGAGTCGCCAGAGTTCAAGCTTTTTAGAAATGTTTATTTTTATGTCTGTATCCACGTTCTGTGACGCGTGACACGCTCATATGAAACATATTACCTTTTTGGAAAAACAAATAAATTACGCAATTATGCCGCGTTTCAAAAAGTAATGTACTGAATTCCTGGACTTACTGTAAAACATGTCTTTTTAGCTAGCATGTTATTTCAGCTAATTTAGCTAATCTGTATTTTCGCGAATTTAAGATGAAGCCTATTTAACAGAAAGTATATTCTCACTATTATATTGTCGACACTTTAGCTAAATTAAGATTCTGTTAATTCATGCCAAGAGTCAAATCCGCTAAAATTGCATGCAGCTATTTCAACATGTTCTACAGTAGTTTTAGTCCCTATCTGAACTATCATACGTTGAAAAATAATCTATGAAATAGTTTGCCTGGACACATTTAAGTTTCTCTCAATGTCATCTTAAAGCTGTGCAAATTTGCTGTTAATCCGACGACACCAGGCGTACGCTATTTTTTGTTAAAAACAAATTACGAATAATTTGATATACATAAACACCTAGAAAACGTCGATAAAGTTACGAAGAGAATTTGAAGTCTGTCTATCGACGCCAGTGGGTTGTTTTCAAGTAAAAATCTGCTATAACATTTGTAGGAGCATCGAAAGATAAGAAGCAATTGGCAAAAAAGCAAATTAGGAATGGGAAATTAACAAAGATGGAATGGGCAAGTTCTAATGACTGATAAATTTATAACACATGTAAATCGCAGAATACTTACAAAAGGCCATCAAAAACTGGTAACCATGTGACAGGCACGGGCTTGTGAAATAAAAAAAACAGGAACGTCAGATTGGAAGAGCTAAAAAAGCATGACTGATTGTTTGACCCCAGTAGACCTTAAATGATTTTCGAGACAGTTCATACATTTCAGAATAACGACTTTTGAAAAGTGATTTGCCATACTAAAATATGCCAACGTTCTTGAAAAAAGTATGATTCAACTAAAAAATACGATAATTTGAATGAAAAATGTTTTATTTTTTCGAAAACCGGTGAAAAAATATGACTGTTGGAATGCCAGTATGATAAGCCATTTCCGGGGCTTGGGTAATTTCCCGACAGTTCGAAAATTTCGAGAAAAAAAAAAAATATTTGAAAAGTTTTTTGTTGTTGCTAAACTAAAACACGCCAATGGTCCTACAAATAATACAAGCAAATAGTACGATAATTTGAACAACAGGTGTTTTAATGGGTGAACAAAATGCTGACCCAAGACAAGTCGACGCCGCCGTTTCTGGTACCGGGTGATTTTCAGATAGTTCGAAAATTTCGAAATAATAACTTGAACACCGATTTGCTAAACCTTAGACAACTAATAAGTGGTTGTCTGATGCTAAACTAACAAACGGCAATTTAAAAAAAATAGTATGATTTGAGTAAAAACTACAATAATTAAACACAATAATAATGAAAGTAGTATGAATTCACCATGAGACTTATTGTCAACTAATTTTTTATTCAGTATTTTCTTTTATTTCTTTTGCTGCCATTCCAAAGGCTTAATAAATTTTATTATTAGAACCATTTTAAAAAAATTGCACTCAAATGTTAACCATATGACTATAAGAATCTCTCCTGATGAAATTACATTTGGTATCTAATATCAAGGTTTTATACTGCTACATCAAAGAAATGTACACCCCAATAAGGGTAACTAAATAACACTAATTCGTAAGGTTATGCGAAATTTATCTTCTAATCCATTCTGAACATTTCCGGTCGATAAGGAGGTGCCCTGCTACGAGGGAAACTAAGTTGTGAAGGCCATCTTTAGTGAATGCCCAGTCCTTCAAATAGAACTTTGTCAAAGTTTACTCGTTTACTCATTGTTATCACGACATATTTCACAAATTGCAGTTTGGGAACATTTCAGTTATGAGAGAAAAGATTAGAAACGTGTGTCTTGATCACATGGCACATGTGACACAAACACTAGTTTTTGAAATGCTACTGGTGAGACAGAGAATCAGCTTTTAATTTAGTTATTTCGCCATCAAAGTTATGTGAATTGATTTGCACCAATTTCAAGAATGTCATTGCTAGTGTGTTCCATGCTGCAGGGTTTTGTACCTCTGTCATTGTTGTGGTAATATAATTACTGTTGACATAACAGCACAACAGCACCAGTCTGTTTTCAACTAGTTGTTTGTCTTTGTTGAACTACGGTTATTCCTGTCATTTTATATGAGCGCCAATATTCATATATTGTATGAATTGGTCTCTCCCACCTAGTACCTTGCGCATGAGTGGATAGTTTTAATGGAATTATGGGTAATTCATTGTCGGGTGGTCGAGAAACACGTAGTTTGCTTTTACTGTATATATAATGGGAACCTTGCCCTTTTTATATAGTGTTCTAAATAATGGGAACATGCATTTTAACATTCTGTCGCCAAGTATATGCATACTGTAATTCAAACATGGGTGTTGGTTACTAAACTAATTAATTGATTAATAACTAGCCGAAATTTCATAGTGTCTCATAATTTGGAATCGAGTATGCTTTGATAAAATGTTATCATACACTTTGTTAAAGGGCTTCTCGCGTCACTCGAAATTGTGAAATGCATAACATTTTTCTTGTGTTCATCCATCATCACGCGAACAGTTAACTTGTCACCAGCATGCGACTCCCCATAATACTGTATATCTAATCCCTTGATTTTGTAATCAGCTATATCATTGGTGAATCCCGGCGTCTTGGTATACATGACAGCCAATCCTGCAGCATTCATGCAATATCTGATGTACACAGTATTATTAGTATGGTCAAACGAGTCCATATCACTATGCGTTACTGACAGTGAATATTCAAAAACAACATTTCCAGTCGTTTGATTATCAAACTTGTGTAGAATAGGTCGGGCACTCTCAGAAGCTTTCGGATGAGTCTGTGAGAGCCGGTTCGGTAAAGATGTCGGTCGTCGGGATTCACGACTAATACATACGTCTTGAACGATGATAGAAGCAAGTAACGTGCCTGTAGTTTTCAGTCGTAATTCTTGGTAGTAATATATAGATGATTTACCAATGTGTATAACTTTAACTGATACTGTCACTGCCGTGGAGAACAATCCAATTGAGGTGTAGTATCCCGGATGTATGTTAACTTTGTTACTTCTGACAACTTGCATGTTCGAGGACTTCGCTTGAACAGCAAATTCACATGGTAGATTTTTATCAGCCAAAACTCTCAGTGTTTCAAATAAACGTAGAAGATTCCATATTGAATATACACCTGAGTAATGATTTAAAAAGAAGTTTTTTTTATAAAAATATGTGTGTATGCTAATTATCACTTGGATCATTTAATCAATGTTGTATCTATTATCAAGTTACAATATAGTAACTAGCAAATGCATACATACCAGACGTAGTAGTCAGCTTGGTCAAAACGGAATATCAAATACGGAAATAAATATTTAATTTTAAAAAACCCAAGTAAATTAAAATGGAAGTTTGGATTGGATGCCAATATTGTAAATTTGTTGTTGACACAGTATAGGGAACAGTGTTTAGGATTAATGTTAAATAGATTAACAACCAAAGGACGGTGATAATCACGTGACGTCTTCAATGTGACAACGCATGTAAATTATACGAGTATTGTTTATTTGCATCCTCCGCGGTGCCCTTAACCCAACACAGTGGGGTCTGATGCCGTTCGGCCGGCGAGGGCGCCACTCATGCCTCCATATCAGACTGGGATGCGCGTTGCACGACCACGTGCACTGCCCTTCAATCGAAATCATATCACAGCACAGCACAACAATGTAAAACACAGACAAACGCAACACACAACCACATACAAAATAACAACATAAAACGATAAATTTGCATATCATAAAATAACCCATATTTTCAGTCAGTTTTAAAATATTTGGTCTGGTCTGGTTTTCTGTGATCAATGAAGTGACTCTAGCGTTTCCGTCATCACTTCATTGAATGACAATTTCTCCAAAGAACATTAATATGAATAAGATCTTGATTGGGATATTAATTTGATGTTAAAGTGAATTGAATGCAAAATCTAACTTCAATATCTAAGAAGCATCCATACCTTTTCTGTCAAAATCACCATAGTTTAGTCCATCGTGAGTGCAAACCAGTTCAATCCCATCCTCTGACACCAGTCTTTCCATGATGAGTATACTGATAACATACACGTTTCCTGTAAACAAAATTTGAATATCAGGTTTCTGTGTACTGGAGACAAGACATAAACAAATAAATGTGAAATTTAGAGGTTGAACTTTTGAAAATCTGTGCAGGCGCTTAAAAAGAGAATCTATTTCTTCCTAAACGTATCATGAGCTAGATTTTTTGTCTCCAGGAAGGTGTCAATGATGTCTCGAGATTTTGTTCTTAACATTGTATTGTTTCTAGCGATGTCTTTGTTCTCTCTCAGAATTTAGAATAGCCCATTCCTCAATCGCCGAAATAATCACCCACCGTGACGTTAATTTAAATCATGACACAATACCCGTACGTTTTCAATATAAATTCGTACAGGCGGTTATGAGTGTTCCATAATATATCTTAACAGAAGTGAATACAATCACTCAAATGGTGTCAAAGATTAAAGGCTATAAAGATCATTCTGCCATGTACCAGAATTGGACAAAATCCAACCATGAATGCCAGAAATCCAGTTCCCGAAATATTTGGTTTTGTGCATTTTTGGTTTGTAGCATTTTTGCGACAAAATCAGCTGTGATACAAATGTTGAAGCAAGGATTAATTCTTCGCGTACCGGGGTCAATAGCATCACCATCTTCTGTTCGCATCCCTGGTCCACACTGCTTCTAATCCAATTATGTGTTTTCTACAAACACGTGCACACAGCATGGTTTACGCTGACAAGTCCCCGGCATAAATGACGCCGGGCCCTCTAAAGTCACATAAGCCAATCCCATTGGAATGACTTATTCCGTTAATGACATTATACCATTTTTTTGACATTATTAATAACAAATGATATCATCTTAAAGTTGTCACATTTAATGGATAAAATGTTATTTGATACTCACACACACTCTGAATCACCCTACAAATTTTCGAGTCAAGTTGAACGAAAACCGTTCATGCACGATCAAAATGTACTTTAAGCTGAAATGGTTGCCATTCGGCCATAATCGGCCAATATCATAATTTAACAGAACGTGATTTTTCTAGGCACCAAGACGTAGGTGCGAACGCCTGGACAAACAGACAGTTTTTGGATTACCGGTATGTCCGACTAACAACAAATCAGATCAAGAGATGATCAATTTACGCTCATTCAGACAATGAGGGCGCTATAACACATCAAATACGTTGGCCATGTCCAGTTCTGTTGAAGCGTGTACAAGAATTTGATACATCAAAAAACCTGTCGACAACTGTTTTCTGATTGGTCTAACTGTTAGATATTAGGTTTATGTAGCCAATCAGATACAATCTTGTAAGTAGCTTTGCATTGACTCCATATTTGCCTACGTCAGACTTGGGGTCATCCAGGGTCACAACGAACGTTATTCACTGTAAATACCCCGTATAAATGAAAACAAAATTAATTAAACACGATAGTTTAGACAAAATATATAACTATAAATATGTCCTTACGCCAACCGTCTCACGGGAATGGTAAAATACCGACCGGAGCTATTTTCAAACTCATCGAAAGATTGACTGAGACCAGTGCGCACTGCATTGAACGAAACACACAGGGACGTATGTGGCACGATGTACAGTCATTCCAGGGTTAGCTGTACAGCCTTAGGCACCGTTGAATGTAATCAAAGAATTGCAGGTAGCCATTATGAATATGCATCAATCTGACATAGTACTAAACTCACCATGCGATTTCCTCGCCTTCTGTACGCACAGACAAATGTCTCGTGGGATAATAAATGTATAGCCAACACGGGTCCAATTTTCAAAGGTCGATATCGACGAACTATTGCAAGGCCAGAGAATGGCCGTACCACAAAATAACGACCGTGTGTCAATCAGGCAAAAATTTGAACGTGTAAGGGACTGGACAGAAATTACAGGGGGGCTGGTGTTTTTTAAAAACTTGAAGGTGTACACGAAAAAAAGATGTCCTCCCCCTACTGTGTGCATACACATACCTGACCCTACCATTTTTCATACACAATGAATAGTGACCCTCTCTATAGGCTATATGCATTGACATTGTTTTGTTAAAACGGGAAAGTTTTTAATCGGATTTATCAAATATGCCTAACAGATTACAATTACAATAGATAACAAAAATATTATACTGACTTTCATTCATTCAGTTTATACAAATAACCGGTAAAATATTATTTCTAAGGATGCGAAAATAAATAAACAATATTTAGAAGTATGATATTTTCCCCTTGGGGTACATGAATATATTTGCCGAGTGAAATGAAATTTGAACAACAGTAACGGTACTTTTAGGCAGTCACTTATTTTGGCCCAAACTAATTTGCATATCACCCATGCAATAATGTTTTCGGTATTTTCACGGTCGACATGCAAATGAACATGGTATTTTCATTGGCTACCGAACTATTTTTATTTTGTAAACACATTTTCGTCTGCTATTTTTATCCAGTTCAAATCGTTCAACAACATTTTTGGCATGTCAGGTGTACATCACATGGAATACTACGATTGGGAGAACTTAATGTATGTTGACCACCTGGAAACTGAGTTTTATAAACCTTGAAGGGCTCTCAGAAGATCCACCAGCAGTAAAATCAGCGATTACTATGCAGCCGCAACCATCAGCATCGAGATACCAGGTTTCTGCTGGCGACGTTGCGGCGTTACTCAGTTCCAAATAAAAAATACCAACGCCAAAAGAGCAACATTTTAACCGGTAATCAAGACTCAGTCAATCCACGACCAGCAAGCAACATCACACACGAAGTTGTAGCGTGCAGCTCAGGCGACAACCGCTGTCGACGAAAGTCATCCCGTCAGTGAAGTACCGCAGTTGCACGGCATGTTTGTCAATGCACAATTCTGTGGCGGAACTTTTAACTGCAACATAAACTGTGTATCATAGTCGTCCAGTTCAAGTTCTGGTTCTGCCGTGGTCCCAACTAAACGTCAACGAGTTATTTATTCGGACTGTGACTCAGATTAGACGTCTGATTATTTTAATTTCAAACAAACAGTGACACGCGTTCTCCGGGCGCGTTCTACACTGACACGCGCTGCTAGGGCGTAACACTTATATTAACATATTAATGGGCAATGGGGTTCCCCGACCTAAATTCCATCCCGGTTTGCACGTTCTTTCTTTAATACGAAATAATCAAGTATGGAACAT